GACTTTGACTTCACCTGCTACAGAGGAAAGCCCTACACTCCAGAAGAGAGAGGATGCTATGAATACATTGCCATGTGATGCTAAATAGGATTTTCAGAGTAGCTGACCCTGTTAAGATAAAACTATGCCAAAACATGCAGTAAGAGTACTTGGCTTCTAGTGCTGAGGTTATAGAAAATTAGTTTGACATTATCTGCCTGGCTAAGAGCAGCTCTGGGGATGGTGTTGGGGAATAATACAAAGTAATAGAAAGGCTCCAGGAGACAAGTTCCTGGAGATGGTCTTTCTGAGCATTTGTTGGTTGTCTTGAAGACAACTGTGATTTTATTTTTCTTTTAATTTTAATAAAAGCACTTGTTAGATCAAATTATTTAACTGCTACTGCTAAAGGGTTTTTGTGCTTCATCCCTTGCCTGAAAAAGTGGCTTTTCCCCTCTGGGAAGTTATTCAGGTTCATGAATAACCCTAAAACTGTACTTTTTTGTTTGGCCATTTAACAATCGGAATGAGCTTGTCAGAGGATCATATGAATACAGAATGAGGAGGAGGATGTAAGACAGGCAGCAAGGACAGCAAGGAAGGATTCTCTGTCCTTGAGCAATTCCACAGAAGAGGCATGTGGTTTTGTGAATGGACTAGCAATAAACCTTGAAATGTGTTATATGTTCATTTGCACTGTGTATAGTCAACCTTTTATGTTTTATCATTGAATTTGCTCATAGTGTGATTAAGGGACTAAAAGTATATCAACAGCAAAAAATTTCATATATTCATATTTGTTTCTGTTGATATACTGTTGAAATAGTAAAAATAAAACTAACAGCACCAGGTATTTCAAGCCTATTATGCTATACAATAGCATATACAGTGTCCACAATGAGCGTCTAATCATCAATTAAAGGATGTTTGAGCTTTTGCTTTTGAGAGTTCTTTTCTTAAGTGAATACTTAGAGGTAAATCAGGAAAGGAATGGGCATTTTTGCAGGTGTTTTGTTTGTCAATTGTTTTAATTTAGTACCGGGTACTGATGTCAGAAGATCGATCGTTAATCTCTGATGCAACCTCTAAATATTCTGGCTGTGGTTTCACTAACAGGAACTTTTCTGATGTTATTCCACTGAATTCAAGTAGCCAAAGTTATTTATGTCGCAGAACATCTTTGTATTTTCAGATAAATAATCGTTTCACACTTCACAAAGAACATGAAGACACCCTTCTCCACAAAGGAGGCGAGAAAGCAGGGAGGGAAAGTAGGTCCTGGTTCTCTTTTGAAAAACTGCTGGTGCTTTGGATCTGTGTCTGTAGTTCTGCAGCTTCCGCGAAGGAGAACAGAAAGTTTAATGAGGCTGAGAGTCAGCTGAGATGGTGCCTAAATCTGGGACAGGGGCTTGCGTTTTGGTTTGGCAGTTGTTTTACATTTTTAGTGGGTTCAAGGAGGCAAATGTTGTTGGGTTTGTATTTTTGAGGGTTTGGGGAAAGTGTTGCTGATTAGGGTTTTTTCCCTGTAGCAACTGCATTGTGAACAAGATTCTGCCTTCCTAATAATCTTTGGAACTTTTTATGGGCTGTCAGAGCATGTTTCTCACCCCAGATTTGATAGCAGCCTTCTTCAGGGTACCAAGAAAGTGATGAGTAACTGTAGCAAAATAACAACGTAACTGATTAAGCCAAGTTTTCAATGGCTTTGTGTCCTTTGACCTATCCATATTTTCTCTGCAGTATCCTTATCCCTCACAACCACCAATTTTCACAAAATCCGAGTGTAAATATCTTGGACATCTTTGGATCTGTCAAATTTAACTTGGTTCAGTCAATGAGAGAACAGTGCTATTTCCTAAGAAAACAAGTTAAAATACTAAAGCTAAAAAGTAGGGAGCTTTTCCAGACCTATTTATATTTGACATTATTTCTTAAAAGGAATTCCTGTTTTTTACCAGAGAATTCTCAGGAAAAAAAAATTATTAATAAAATATTTTTGGAAACAATAAGGGGATGGAATGGGTGCTAGTTCATGTTAGTTTTAAACGCAAGATTGGATTTTGTCTTTAAATATACATGTATAGTGTGAATTATATCTCTGTGAACAAAGGGTCATCCCAAACATGTGAAAATGTTAATGTGTTCACATAAGTTTGGATTTCTAATATTAAAAAACCACAGAAATTTCAGTCAGTCCACCTTCTTTTCTCATCCTTCTGCATCTATGAATTGTAACATACTTAATCACATGAGTAAACATAAGAAAATTATAATTCCTAAAGTCTAGAAGCTGTTGTGTTAGTAACATAATTAACTTATCAACCTGTTGTTTATGATTAAGTTGACTTGCAAAATGGTAATATTAAATAACTGTTAAGCTTTCTTTTTAATTACTGTTTAGTGCCCCAGGACTGTTGTAGTTCATTTTTAGGCATAGAAATTGAGATAAATCCCTCTGGACTGATCTTGCTGTCTTTAATTCCTGTGTAACAAGTGTGCATGCCATCACTGAATGGGGTACAATAACAGAATTATTCTGAATTTTCTTTCTTTTCCACTCTCTCCCTTTAACTTAAAGAGTTAAACTAAAAAAAAGGAAAAAAAAAGTTGTTTGTCCTAAATGTTCTTACTGAAATCCATTATGCATGAAAGGAGTCTGAGTCCATTTGCAAGACCTCTAAATGAACTCCATTCATTCCGTGCTCAGAAATGTCCATTCAGCCAGAAACAGACACAATAGTTACAACCTCATTTATTTTGCACCAATACCATCATATTAAAAGTGAGGCGTTTGTTATGAGAAAGTATAGTAATTTTTCTATGCTAGTTATATAATTCTTTAATAAAATTACTTTAGGATTTGAATAATGTAAAATTGTGTATCTATTCTGTGCCCCTAATTGCAGTGTAGTAGCACTGCAGTCATCTGAAATTCTTAAACATTCATGAAGATTTTGCAATAGCTATTTTGAAAACGTAAGTTGACTTAGCTTGCCTTACTGTCACATAGAATGAGTTACAGAGACATGTTTCTAGTTGGCTCAGAAATTAAGCCAATTAGTGATCATAATTAGTGGCTATTGAAAAAAAAGATTAAATTTTTGACTTTTCAAACATTAAAACTTTGTTTGCATTTGGAAAGTAAATTACCTACAATACTCATGTCAAAGTTGTAGGAATACAGTGTTTCATCACTTTAAAATCCATGAAGGTACGTCAAGAATTCACCGCTCCTCATTTTGCCTGGCTTAAAGTGGAAACTGACCCATTGTGATGGGCAGAATGTCATGATCCTCAGGGGTAGGGGTGGGATATCAGACCATATTACATCTTAGGTTACATGACTTGGAGCGTTGAGTTTTGCCTTCTAAGGTTAGGAACGAGCAAAAATGATAAGCGTTTAGGAGAACCTGGCTTGCCTTACATGCAAGTGGGACTTTCATAAGTTGTCACTCTTGCATGCAGTGTTAAACCTGTGTGAGAAAGGTCTGCAGCCTCCCACAGGCATTCTCTCCCCAGTTCAGGTTAGGGAGGCTCTAAGGAGAACCTATGGTGGTTGCATTTGTGTCCTTTTCCTGCCAGGCTGGGTGACCATTTACATGAGGTAATTTCCTAATGTGCAGAGAGTGTTCAGTGTAGAAATAAATACTGTGTTTGGAGGGAAGGAGAAAGCTGAGAGCAGATACAAATTTCACTTTATATTATTCTTTGACCTGAAGTCCTTTATTTATTTAGATATTTATTTTAGATTCAGCAGTTGACTGTTCACGACTGTTCAGGGCCCTTTTGAAGTCAGTGATGGATCCATTTTCATGCCAGCTCTTGTTTGTGGCACTCTGGCCTTTAAGTACCAATAATCAGCTTGGAAGGAGGTGGCTGTGGTAGCTGACTGGAACTGACCGAGCATTTCCTCCAACAAACTGTAGAAAATACTGTTTGTGGGAAGCGTGTGAGTGAGGGTGGATGGGTGAGGGGCTCACAGCAGGAAAAACAACTAACAGGAAAGCGTAAGGAGAAACATCATCTCCCTGCTCTCAACCTGTTCTTTATCTGACAGTCTCCTGCTGGTTGCTTTTCCTGCTGAGTCTCCTCCTCCTTCCGTTCCCTCCACATGCAAAATACACGTCCAGTGAATACCTACCCAGTGACAGTACCGGCACTTTGTTAATGAAACTCCCTGCATGACCATTCTGCAACTCTTGTGTAGCATTCCATTGTTTAGATTACTGCTGAGCTTGACATTATGTGAATTGCACCTGCAGTTTGGCCTGCTCTGGGATTGTACAATGCAATAAGAACTTGGAGCTACCAGGAGTTCAACCAATTATAGGTCTCAGAATATGCTTTTCATAAAGCAAATTGTTTTTAAAGTTGTTTGGGGTTTTTTAATATTTTCATCTGTAAATGTTACGCTTCTGCATGAAAATTAAGTGCCATATACTAATTTTCCACAGTGTTGGTGTGTTTTCTCTGGATGATTTCCAACCTGATTCCTTAAATCACTTCTTTACACTTAGATGCTGTTGATACTTGATTTTGATGGAGTTTTTTCTGATTGACATCAACATTCTCCCACTTCATGTATTTCCTAACTTAGAGATCTGTCAGTTCACTTTTCTTTTTTTACTCTTGGGAAATGAAAATTGAATAAGAAGGGTCTGTGACAATATACTAAAAAAAAAAAGAAGCAAAAATTAAGAAGCATTATAAAATGTGTCCCTCATAATTCACTGCTGACAATTCACTTCTGCTTTTTGTTTGTTTAGGTACTTCCCACCAAGGTGGCTATTCCCACAGCGCAGTGGTCCACGCATTGCAAAAATGTGGCATTCGTCACATTGACACAGCAAAAAGATACGGCTGCGAATCTCTCCTCCAAAAGGCCATCAGAGAGAGTGCCGTGAAGCGAGAGGATCTCTGGATAACTACCAAACTCTGGCATGGTGATTACGGCTACGAAAGCACAAAAAAGGCCTGCTTGGAGTCATGTCAAAGGCTTGGCGTTGAATATCTTGGTATGAACCTTTGCATGTAGCTCATTTATTGTGCCTTCCACGTGAGCACTCACGAAGTTGAATGAATTCCTGAAAAAAAGTTACGGATAGATCACAGAACCCAAATTCTGCCTTTATTTACACGCCTGCAGGTTTCTTGTTCTGTTTGTTCTCTAGCTAAAGTTCACATGCATACAGTTGAGAGCACGGAGTTTTTTCTTGTTGCAAGTGTTTTAAAACAGACCAAGGTATATTTTGTGAAGGTTTATCTCATTGTTAAATTCCTTGAGGAACAACTACGTGGGTTTTATATTTTTTGCTAAAAACACCCAAAACCTATAAAACAAGGATTCATAAACTTTACAATGAGATACTGGCAACAGGGTAGCAAAAATGCCTGGTTTCTTCTGTACCCTGTTTTCTTTTCCTCAAGGAGTGAGACTCCTTTCTAAAACTTTCTTTGTAGGTCTATTAACTCTTTGAAATTCAGAATACTACCTGTGGATTGGTCTGTCTGATGCAATATACTTTGGGGAAAATGTTAGAAGTATTTGCAAGACTTTAGAAAACTGAAACTAAATCTAAGTAACACAGATGCACTTTCAAATTTAATATTATCATAAACTTCTTTTAGTAAAAAATGTGATCTTGGTACTCCCTTATTAGACAAGCAAAGAGCTGCCATAGTGATGCCAATTAATTCTTTGCAACAGGCCATAAGAGAGGAGATACTTGATGAAAATAAATATGGTATTTGCTGCTTCTTCTGAAGCAATGAGAAGAAAATGGAGGTAGAGGAAGATGAATTTAAAGTAATAATCTAAAATAATGACACTGGTGGAGATAATCTTTATGCTGATATTCAAGAAACCGTTGACCTAATCATCAGTGTCCTGCCTGTCAATGTCCTGAAAACCTTCATTTTGTTTCTTTCCTCACCCCATCCCCATTTTAGCAATAAACTTTGATGAGGAAGTGAACAGCTTTTGTGAAGTATGAATTTCTCTGAATTAGTAACATATAATATTAGTGGCAGCTGTGTGCTATGTTTAGTGGCTTGTTTTGCTTGGGTACTTTGCAAGATGAACAGGGAAAAGCTCTTATATCTGCTAAAGACAGATACCTGTATGCACATCTTTGGCTTCATTCTTTCTGGAAATGTATCCCTTCACTTCCTCCACAGGTACAGAATAATGCAAAAGGAATTAGGATTTCTTCTTGTCTGTCCAGTGTAAATGCACATCACTGTAATGAGACTTTCATAAACCAACTTTCAAGCCCTGACTATCTCCTTTAACTTGAGAAATAACATTATTCCTCCTCTCTGCTTTCTGCTTGTTATTTTGTGTTTGCTTTCTTTTTTCTTCTGCTTGCTCTGGTACTGGTGCTGAATGTCGATGAGAGGAAAACTTGACTCACTTCCAAGAAGTCTGTTTCAGTGATTCCTTCCACTACTGTAAGTTGGTTTTATTTTCTCAGGTAGTAGAAATCAGTAAGACTGATTGAAGTAGGTGCTCACACAAATACTGAGTTTACATATTACATATTTACTGCTAAGCAGAAATACCTGAAAGAAGGAAGAGAATATCTGAGAGCAAGAAATGCACGAATGCTGTCACCATGTGAGCGAGTCCTTGGATTGTGTTCAGACCTGAAACTTCTTTTGCTCCTATTTCTAAGGCAAACTAAGGGAGTATCACAGCTGCCTATGCAATTTGTCTCCATACTAGATTTGTTCCCTTTTTTTATTTTTGTTTGTTTTTTTTAATAACCTCACCCATCTTCCCACCTTGCTTCCACTGATAGAGAGATTTCTGAAAGATTTCTAAAGCTATTCTTGAACCACTCAGTCTGCCATAGTGACCTAAATCAATGCAGGCTTCAGCTTGCTTTAACTTGACAGTTTGTGAAGTGTGATGGCTTTGGAAATACTTCATGTGCAAGTCACCGATCTGTGTATGAGGATGGTGACCTCCATGAGGATGGGATGGCAGGTGGAGCAACAGCTTTGGCTACTTGAGTTTAATCTCTGTTGTATCAACTCCACAGTTGCTGTTAAGCACAGTGTGATCTGCACTGCTCTGAGAGGGATAAGGTTGAGTTCCATCTTAGGGACCTGGGAAATAATCTAACAGGAATTACTAAATCCAAGCATTATCAGTATGTAGACTGCCAGCTGTTGAAACAGATAAACTGTTGAAAGCAGTCACAGCTTTTTAAGAGAAAAAGTGCTCCATGTAACATATGTGTTATGGGGCCTTTTCAATAAACACTTTTGAGGCAAATGGTGCTAGGAGAGCAGTGTTCCAGGATTTTTATTTGAATTGGTAGATTATATATCCATGATGTGCTGGAAATTTGTATTACTTGTGGGCAGTGGTTGTAACAGATATTCTGTTCCTTGCATTTTCTAAATGTGGTCCTCAACTAGCAGACACAGTAAACCAGTATGAAATGGCAGCAGATCTTACAGGTTTGGCAGTAGCAGAATACATTCCTTGGTATTTGGATCTAACCTCCAAAATAACTTCTTGAATGTGATTTGTGGGTTACGGAATTCATAAACAATTTTATTTTCCTTTTGACTGTTCCGAGTTTGTCCCGTTCAGGCAAATCTGGCCTATCACAAATCCCCAGCTGGACAAATGCACTCTCAGCATATTCAGTGTAATAGATGAATCACATGGAATGGGTATATTATCATCATTCAGGTTCTGAGTTGCTTCAAAACACTTTGTTGTTTGTTTTTTTTTTTCACATTTATCCTCGTTCAATAGAACAAAATAAAATACAAAGATTTAGTGGGAGAGGAAAACACATCATGTCAATACTAAGTACAGTGACTATTGAGAAAAGGAGAGAAGATAATTGCATTAAGATAACTGGGAAACAATGGAAAATATTCTTTTGCTTTTAGGTGTGATATAAGGCAGGGCTTGTTCTTCACAACTACGTTTGTTTTAGTCAGTCTGGACTTTTTTTATATATTTTATTAGGAATTTCAATAGAATTGCAAACTTTTATTTCCACAACAACACACTGTTGGCTTTTAAACTTGTAAAATGGCCCTGCACTTTCCAGTTAAGAGGAACTGTGTTGATTGTAGGTGCTGCAACCGCTAAGAAGTAATAAGCTGTTCTATTTTAAATGTATGTGTGAAAGCAGCACCGTGCCTTGACATTTAAATGAACTTCAGGCCCTCGTTTACCACTGCACCATTACAGCTTGATTGCCTGCAAAGGATGTTTTAAAAAGGTGTTAAATATAAAAATTGATTGTGAATGTTGGGAGGTTTTTTCATTCTTTCTCAAGTGCATCCCAATACTGTGAATCACGGTGGATTTTTCAGTTTAAGATTATTTTTAAAAAATATATGTTTGGAGGACAGCTCAAGGTGTTAATTAATCTTTCCCACGGTACAAAGTAAAACCCCATCGTTCTCAACATGGAAGAATGTAGTCTGTTCATAAAAACCTTCAGTGATAAAGTTACACATTTCTTGATTACTAGAACCTCAAGCTATTTCGATAAATGATTTTAAACTAATTTCTTGCCTCCAAAATGAATTAAAGAGTGTTTGTGTTCTCACAATCCCCGGGAGGGGAAATATTTTAAGCAAAAGAAAGTGTGTGTGGGTGTAGGGTGTGAATGTGTGTACAAATAAAGATGAAATCATAGACCTGGGTTTGTGCAGAGCTTACTGTTTTTGTTGGCCTGCAGGTACCGTGGAAAGTTTTCTACCAGATGCAGTAGAAGATGGCAGATCTGGCTGTGCTGGGGGTGCTTTACCCATGACTGGCACAAAGACCATTCTGCTCTTTATCTGTGAGATAAGGTACCTTTGCCCCACATCTTTGGTGAACACTTCTTGCAGTCCAGAAGGACTGTGCTTTGTGATCCAGTAGAGGCTTTCTAGCCCTAAATGCACATATTTCGAAATGTGAAGTAATTATTATTTCAACAGAAACCCTATATTAAAACAAACATAGTAGGATGATATAGACATCACATAGCTAGTAACATCACCTTTCTAAAATAAGGGACCAACAGCTAATAATGTTTACCCTGAAGAGGCCTAAGACACTAATACAGGAAAGAATGATGTGCAGCATTTTTTTTAAAGGTCCAAGGCCAGAGATCTTTCAGTTATCAAATATGTTAAGTCCTTTTTCTGAGAGTGCTTCAGTTTCTTGGACTGAGTACAATGCATCTCTGCATATGGAAATTCATGATGTAGCTATTTCTGTGAGCATTTGCAAACTGTGGTGTCTGAGTGAATAGTCAGGCTTTTGGAGAAGTAGCTTTTGGTGAAATTCTGCTGAAGTTTGATTATTTTTGCTAAATGGTGTGTTTCTGCATAGTTAAGCAGTTCTTACTAGTCTGGTTTGGAAAACAGAGCAAGCAGCAATTAAAGATACATAATTCCATTTTTATGTGAGGTAGGCACCAGATACCAGTAACTTACACCTACTTATATATGTGACATTTGCTTTATCCAAGCAAAAAAGTCTAAATTCAAACATGGCAGTCTCTATGCAGTAAGTACCACCAATGACATATAATTTTGGATCAAAATGAACACTTAATATTAGCAGTTCCTAGTGCTAATCCTTGGGTTTATGTCTAATATAGCTCAGTGGAAATTTTATTGGCGACAGAGTTTGGGTAGCCCTGACTTTTGATCAGAACCTCACCGAATGCTTTATTAGTTCCCAGTATGAGTTTTCAGTTAAATGTCACAGAAATTGGTATTTATTCCAATACCATGTATTGGTATTTATTTCTAATAAATACAAGTTCTTTTCTCAGAGCCATTAGAGAGGAAGTAATTATTTGTGCGTTGGTAATGAACAAGACTGCATATGGAATTGGAAGTGGATTTTATGTATATAAGAGCAAAGAATGAGCAACTTTCTCTTTAAATGTGATGCAAATTGAGGTGCTGCAGATCATTATATATGAGTGATATTTGCTTCCCTGAGCAATTGTATTTAAAAGTCTAATGTGTTATTGATATTGGAAAGTGCAAGTTTAGCTTGTGGTTTTTGTGATACATCCAAAATTTTTTCTTCCATAGAGCTGTACTGTATCTTACTGTACAAAACTCTGTACTGTTCTAAAATTTTTAATTCAAGTAAAGTACTCTCTTTAACAGTGTTGCAGTGATGTGCCAAAATTGGAACTGGGCTATTAGAGAGAATTTCATGTTACCTTTTCCTCTTAAATCAAGGTTGAGTTTGTATTTTTAGAGATGGAAAACTAATATACCAGCCCACTGGTATAGTAATCATTAATGCAGTCCTTAAATGCGAATAAAAAGAATTATTTTTCTTTCTTTTCCCAATTTTTTTTGTTATTCACAAAGCAGAAAATCTGTATTTTCTCAAAGAGGTGCTGTAAAGAAATGGTGTGCTGTATTCAGAGAACAAAAACCTCTTCTCACTGAAACAAGTCTGAGGTATTTTTTATTTTTTAACTCTGTATTTGAACTGCCAAAAAATGAATATTATAAAGTACAAAGAAAATGGTGTACATTTCAGTCATCCCTTTATTTTCTTTTGCTGTTTTTCATCAGACTAATGTATGCAGCAAAGGCCAAGACCTGTTTGACTGGGATGCCTGCAGTTACCTGTTTAATCTGGAGTTAGAATGTAAATAGAAATGTAATTGTTTTCCAAGTATCTCTTAAATTTCCCTTTCAGAATGTCTAGCAGTGTCTACAAACTTATAAAGGAGTTATAGGTCCTGTCATTTTTGAAATTTAGATAATCTCATTTGAAACTCTGAGTCCAATACATGTACATTTCTCACTTTAATTTATGTGAATTTCTGCTACCCTTGGTTGTTAATGAGATGTTGTAGAATTCATTTATTAAAACTAAATGGATGTGCACAGTAATGAGCACGGAGTAGTGTTTGTAACAGTTATGGTGATAATGTGTTGGAGCCATTATGGAGGGAAAATGCTGTTTCACATGATTCGATGTATTTATTTTTCTCACACTTTACTGAGCAGTCTGGTTCTGCTTGGCTTCTTTAGATCTGTATTTAATGCACTGGCCTGATGCAGATGTTCCGGGGAAAAGCAATCGAGAGGTCCGAGCTGAAACCTGGGGAGCCATGGAAGAGCTCTATGAGAAAGGTGATGTAACAAGACAAACCTGTCTCAACAGAAGGAATTATTGTGCACTTTGGGATTTGGGGAAGTCATAGTGAGAGATGTTCAAAAGCTTAATTTGAACTGGGTGCTCATATCATGTCTCTTTGGAAATTGTGGTGTTGCTTGTAAATAATACATTGTCAAATTCTGTCCATGACATTAATAATGATGTACATACTTTTTTGAGAAAATCTGCTGACTACATTGAAGTCTGTATGCCACTATAGAATACTTTTGAACACTTCAGAGCACCTTTAAGTATAAATCATGCCAAGTTTTACTTCTTTTAGATTTTTTTTTTACTTGTATGGTGCCATTTTCCAGTTTATCATATATTGTGGTATTTTGTAGTTCCATTTGTGTTTTTAGAAAAGGTTCGACAAAAGAAAATGGCTGGATGAGAAGCAAATACTCAGCTGCAGATTCTTTGGTACTAACTTTTGGAAAATTCGAAGACTTTTGCTCAAGTTCTGATAACTCAGGTTTTGGTGCTCCACGAACTTCAGTTTATGTTCATAGCAATAGGAGGAGTAGATGTAGATTTACGAGGAGGATTTTGCTCCTGAAGGATGCAGAATTATTAGAAATGGTGTCATGAGAGAAGATCCTGTCATTCAGTTCTTGGGCCATGTGAACCACCCTGTTGACAGCTTCAGAGAAGCTCCACAGATGGGGAGAAGACTTCTTGGCTGAAGTAATCTGACACTAAGCCAGAGTTACTGCACTGGTGATTGTAGCAGGAGAGCTGCACAAAGACAATTACAGGCTGTGTGTCACTACCAGCTTTATCAGAGCCATAAACCAACCTCTCCTCTTACACTTTAACCCTTTGTTTACTTTTGCTCTGCCTCTGGAAACGCAGAAGTGAATTATCTTTGGTACATCTTTTGTTCTTACTTTTTATATTAAGCGTAAGGGAAGTTGCCAGAAGTGTTTTCTGGATTACAACATCCAGTTTTGAAAGAAATGCTCCACTGACCTAATACTTCAAAGCATCAATGACTCTTACATCCAAAGACGGATTATTCCACAAGGAATTTCATCCTTCCATTGAGAAGGGTTTTTTTCTCAAGAGTATTTAAGTTAGTGTGTGTCATTTGTGCCTAGATATGGCGTCTTAATTTGCTGCAAACAGGTTGTCTTTTTCACTTTCTATTATTATTCCTATCCTAGCAGCTTTTTTCTGCTTTTCCATGTGTCTTTGTGATCTTTCCTGTCTGGTACAACTCTTTCTTTCTCTATATATCTTCGTGATGGGAAAGACTATGAGCTATTCAGTGGCCTTCTAGTAAGACACTGGAAATACTATAGCTGGCCACACAAACAGAGGAAAAATTGCTTTTAATTTTTGATCCTATGCATGATCACTCTTTACAGACATTCCATGTGATACTTATTTTTCCTGAAGTTGCATTTCTTCAACAATTTTGTCAATTTGCATGTTGTTACTCTCAGTCTTTTTCTGAATTTAAGCATTCTGTAGACTCACGATCCATTAAGGGGAACATGAGTTGTCCAGCTCTGGTTGTCTAAATTGCCTCAGTTAGATCATACACAGGGGAAGGAAAATTTAATAATCTGGTTGAATCAAGTGCCTTAAAACATTAACTTCCACACTTCTGCTGTAGGGGATACAGACTCTGGATGTCCTGACCATAAGTATGTGTTACTGAAATGACACGCAGATGTTAACCACTCTGGAGTTGGAAATGCAGTGATTCCTGAGCAAAACGTTAAATAATTTGTTTGCATGGTTAACCACTAGGTTTTCCACTGAAGATTAAACACTTGCTGCATATCTTTGTGACTTGCTATGTGTTACGTGAGCAGCCTGTTAGCCTTAGTGAGGACTGAATGTAGGATTTGGTCAAAGTCCTTACTTGAGGAAAAACATAACATCTTCATTTATTGGGGGAAAAATTGTAAGTTCTTTACTAAATAGATGAGTTCTTTGTCTTCTCTGAACTTGACATTGGTTCAGGTGGTCACTGGTTCCTGTTTGCAATTCTGTTACTTTTTTTATTTAATGTTTATTCTAGAAAAAAAAAATTCATAGAAACTGAACACTTCACGTCTAAGGATTGACCATTTAAACAAGTAATGTGCTTCTACAGGCAATTCCCAAAGGTAATATTGAAGTGATTGAAACCCACTTGCCAGTGGGTTTAGGAACTAACTGTGCCCACACTGAAGAGTGTCTGAATGTGCAGAGAATAATGGTTGTTCTCTATAGAAAACAAATTGGTTTGTGTTATGGAACTGATAATACTTTCATGTTACAGAACTGTCTGCAAGAGACTTATGAGATGGTTAAAAGATGTCTGTGTTGACCTAAAGCTTTGATCTGGCTGAATTTAACAAGATTTTCTTTAATCACTTCTCTGTATTCACAGATGGTTTGAGTGCAGATACTTGTAAATCTCATTCTTCAACTTCAATTTAAAGCCAGGTTAATATTTATTCTGCAAAATTCTATTTACCTGGGGCAAGAAACATTATTTTAAAGTAATGTAAATTATTAATTTACATTAGTCAATTGTTATTATCAGTTGCCCTAGGAGTAGAGTAAATAAACTGCTAGTATTCAAGACTGGGTCTTAATGCAGTCTTTAATGCAGAGGGTTTTTTTTTTTTCAAAGTTTATATTTAGATTGGTCACATTGGTCAGAAGTAGACACAAGAAACTGGAAATATGGACAATTTAAAATGAGATTATTTGCTGTACTGAAGTTTTGGGCTACACTCCTTGGATCCAGCGTGCTTTGGAAACTAAACAGAACTGGGTTACTGCCCCAAGGATGGAGTCCCAGGAACACACTTCAAAGAAGTTTTCATGTGTTAGCACTTGTGTTTGAATCCACTGTTCAATTGCTTAAGGCAACTAAGCAGCAAAACTTTAGGTTAAGAACAATTTCCCAGAATCCTGGGCATTTTTCTTGAGATTTTTCACAAAGGAGACTTCCATTGATCAGCCATTGCAACTTCTTTATATTGAGAATTAGGAATGGGGGAGTAGAATTATTATTTTCTTTACTGGTTTCAGAATTTTAGTAGGTATCTAAAAGTATAGGACGAAGGCAGAGAATTCTAGAAATGTGTCTTGCTTGTGTTTTCCTTTAAAGGGTTATGGGATAAACAGCACTGAGGGAAAAGGGAGGAAAAAACTCTAAACGTTGGTCAGTGAGACATTTGTGTGTAATAACTGGTTATTTCTGTTGTAACAGCTGAAATCAGCTAGGATTCTTGTAATATCAAGGCTGTGGTTTGAATTTTTGTGGTCTCAAAATTGTCATTTTGGGGAATTATCCTCTCCAATACCTCAGAACAGAGGCCAGGCTCCCTACAGAATCCATTCCAAGATACATACATTGAGTCATATATTCCCTTGACAGCTGCAGCATTCTTGTATCGGCAGTGCTGTGCTGGCAGATGAAAGCAGTGTGGCGAGCTGCTTTGACATCATGAATAGTCATTAGATGTGCTCACTGGTAAAGGGTCTGTTCCTAGCAAAGTGACCCTTTCCATATGCAGCGTCTTTAATGACCTTGACTTTGGCATTGTGGCTAGCCCATCGTCTTGGAAAGCTTTTCATACACACATGCACATGATTACTCGTCCCTCTATCTAAAAATGCTGGGAAGAACGAGGGCTTCCAGCCAGCTTTTGCCTCAAGTTGGCAAGAGTAGTAACGTGGTAGTTGTTCTGGGTTCACATCCCACTCAGACTCGGCTGCCATTTTACCAAGAGTAAAATTGGTTATCTTTGTAGTGTCGACAGTGAAGCTTATGCTGAAATGGAATATCCTTCCTTACCTCAGAAATTCCTTAACCTGTTAACATATGTTTTTGTTATGATTACCTGTATGATTGGAAGAGAGTCTTATAAAGAGACAGAAATTATTTAGCCCAATAATTAAAGCTGTGTTACTATGTTCTTGGAAAAAAGTTATGTTTTGCTTAATTCCAAGTGAGAGAAGAAATCTAACCAATCTTAATAATATTGCCCTCGTTGTGGGGCATAGACCAGTCCAATCATCATCTTTTCTTCCTCCATTTTCTATCCATTCTTAAAAGTATGAGTGAGGGTTCAGTGAACCAAATACTGGGTTTTGGGCAGATGGCACAGATTTCTAGCACATCTTTTGCTAGGTGGCATATTCTGCTCTTATTCTACTGAAAAATTACTTTAAATCTATACAGATATTGTCAAATGATGAACAGCTGACAATTCAAACTGTTGTGTTGCAGCTCCACAAAATGTTTGCCTCGAGAGTGCTTATGTTGGTAGAAATCACATGTGGATGTGTGTCCATGAGTTGCACTGAAGTTGTAAAAAGTAAAAGCAAGTAACTAATTTGCCCAGCAACACTTCTTTTTCACGTTGTGGATAGTATTCTGTCTGTACAGATGAAGACGTCTCGTGGGCTTGTTATTATCAGAAACACAGTTCAAAGATGTGTTTTCATGGGTTGGAGGTGGTTGCAGTTGGTGAGGATGTTGGTTGCACCACACCCTGTTGATCAGATAAGACAGCAATAAAGACGTAGGGAAAAAAATCGCTACACTTATTTATGTTAAAGATCATAAAGAAATCTTCATCATTTTCAGTATCTTATTTAAAAAAAAGAATTACCACAGAAGTCATCCTTTTGGTGCAGATGAAGAAGTGGGAATTAATCTAAACTCACTCATTTGTTTTGCTCTTTTTTTCTTTCTTAATGTTAACTTCATGGGTAATTCTACATGTAAAAATAAGCCCTCAGAGGACATTGTTTCATGATTTATTGCAGTGTATGATTTGAGCCTTTTCTACTAGCAAGCAAATCCTTTTTGTCAAAGCTGTAAATAAGCAAGCTAAGCAAAAATTTAAAGC